CGTGTCGTATTAAAACAAATTGTCTAGAAAGAGAATTTAAGTTTTTTTCTTAGACAGTGTTAAATTTAAAAAATCGTGTGAAAGCAGAATGTAAGTGTACCAATTATCTGAGCAAGAAACTTGTCACGAATACTTTCTAAAAGAATTGCATTGGAAGATCGTGTTCGCGTGTTAGATGAAACACGGGTAAAAATTACAATCTACTGGTTTTAAACAAGGTCGAAGTAATTTATGAAATCACTTACCATCATATATATTTTAAATGAAATTCATTTTGGAGCTTCAACTTGGAATAAGGATCTTCCAACTAAACATGTTTACTACCTCTGCCTTTTGTAGGTTACTATCGGTGGGGGGGGGGGCGTATGAAAGTGGAAGAGTAAAGGTGGAGGAACTTTGAGTTCTATCATTCCAGAATTAATACAATATATTTAGAAAACAAAAATTAGTATTAAAAAACATACTATTTAAATGTGAAATACACCCCAAAAATTATCACAAAATTATTGAAGGTACTAAAGATATTTTTACCCCCCCGAAGTATGGATTGTCTCGAAGCCAGCAGCTGGGACAATTGTGACTCATAACAAAACCTCACAGATACGCATACAAACAAAACTATATCCGCTTCGTCGTTGCATGAATAGTCCAGTGCCATAGAAACACGAGGGTTAGAGAATAATAAACCTCATTAGGTAAATCTTACGCTAATACGTTCCAATAATAGCAGTGCAGAATGTATAATCTGTATAAAACAGTAGAATTTTTCTAGTCGAAAACGGTGTTGTAATATTCATAGACGTGAATATACGCAGATTGTCCCACTACTAATGAACATCTGAATTATTTTCACGACAATTGAAAATATTCAAAAATAATCAAAAGTGTGCACATGGTTCAAGGAGTATTCTTTTTTTAACGACAAATGTAGGATTTGGAATCAACCCTGTTTAGTCATTTCTTCGTGACTTCATCAGCGTCAATAATTTACGTAATCTGACTGCGGGTGTTCATGCAAATACTACTTCTTACGGAGTAATTCACAGAGACTGAAATCAAACAAAAATTTCTTCCCTCTGTTCACGATTGAAATCACATAAACACCTGATAATCACAATTTTAGGCATTAATTTATAAACATATAAATCAGATAGAAATTTATTTCTCGCACTAGACGTCTTATTATGTTGATAATAATATACAAATATGATTAAGTTTTATCAAAGTTTTTATTTTACTATATTCTGCATATTAAAATTTGCTATAAATACATAAACACCCGCAGTCTACCTACAACTAATACGCATACGGTCGTCAATGGGTTAATGTTGCTATCACCCTGAAATCCGAATGATCGTGTACACTATAAAATCCTCAGTGTAGTAATCATGATTAGCGCAATACCCTCTACGTTCTATAGAGCAATTAACGTGTCAGTTCCTTCCATTCTTCGACTAAACTCCTTCGAGCTTTAGTTCCACTCATTCACGGAAACATTCGCGCAACATTCCTCCGTTTCAAAGTTCACAAACTCCATGAGGGTAGTAACGAACACATTGGAACGACTCCCTCGTGGCAGGCATGGAACTTCTTCGTTACGAATTCGTTCGACGATCGACAGGCACTCGTGACGCGGATCGCGATTCTGCAACGGGGCTCGCGATACTTGCCCGTTAATTGTCCCCACTCCCACCCTCGACTATCGACCAGGATTGCGCGTGTCATTGATTGATCGTCACTTATCCGTTCGAATGGATTCACGGAGGGCTCGTGCCCGGCGAACAGTGATAATTAGCCGCTGGAACAACGCCAGGGAATTTCGTAGCTTTTGTTAAAACTCGAGTTATGACGATCGGTCGGGCCCGCCTGGCCGTCGAACGATCGTTATAGATAAATCATCCCCCTAATTGGACATCGCGACGCGTCTAACCCGGTGATCGTATATTAATCGGGCTACATATGGAATTCATTAACGCGGTCGGGACACGGGCCGAAAATGTACAAAAAGAAAAGAATCGCCCGTCGATCGAGGCTGGCCTGTCGAATGGATCGGTGGCTTTCGGATGGATTTACGCGAAATTTTGTTTAACGTCGAGATAAAGAGGGAGTAAATCGATTTATCGAGGACCTGGTGAAGAACATTATTTGCGACACGGTGCCGTTTTGTCACTCGTAATTAATTTCTTTAACACCTACGTGAATCGGTAATAATCAACGTAATAAATAATTAGGTAATCCACTGACGATCGTAAGCACATTAATACGGTACATGATTAGACTGCGGATATTTATGCATTTGTAGCATTTCTTAAGTTGGAGAATAGAGTAACATAATGGTTTTAATAAATTTTAATACTGTTCATTTTAATTTTAATTTTTAAGTTTAGTTTTAATTTATTTACTGGTATTCACCCTTTATAATACAATTAAATAGATTTAATGTTTATATGTTATTATTAACATAGTAGAGCTGCTAGCACAGAATTCAAAATTCTGCTCCAATTTCTTCAAAAATCTTATCAATTTTGTTGCGATGCGAGGAAACCTTTATCTTCTACTCGGTGGTAATTCTGGAACAATTTATTTCTTCCGTACATAAAGGAATTAAAACATTGACATTGGTATATGCTGGATGTTTCACAAGAATCGCGATAAAGGTATTCATAATCGGATTATATCATTTTCAACTTTGTTCTCGAGTTACGGCCTCTTCCATGTTCCCAGTGTTAACACCTTCCCTGGAATCGGAGTAATTAAGTAGTACTCGGTAAACGAAGCGCGAATGCAAAGCTCAAATAACAGACGCTAACGAAAAAAGGCAACAATCCAGCAACACGGTTAAATAAAACATACGCAACCAAACTAATTATCCACATAATCCAGCAGTCTTTTCCAACGCACTCCCGATTTCCCGCGACAAACGATGTAGGATGCCTTATAAAAAGCGCACGGTCAAGATAAACAATTTATAAAAAACCTTTCTTGGTCACCTTCCTCGATTCCGAATTTATCCATAAACCACGTCGAAGTATTTTACGACGCACTCTCCGCAAACAGTGACGGCCAATAAAGCATAAATGAAAAGGATCATCGATACAGAGAAGGTAGAAACCGATAGAACGTACATTGAAACAAAAAAGAAACGATTCCAACCCCCCAGCGGGTGATGCAGAGTTTCCATCAAAAGTTTTCGCCTATTTCCAACATCGCCGTGGAATAAAAATTTGATTTCGCTGCGAGTCACCGTAGCCGCGATCGAACCCCGGTTGTTAAGTCGCAACCCTCTCCGAGAGAGTTGCTCCCCCTTTTTTTCCCCTTGTTCCGCCATCTTTCTCTTTTTCCCGTGACCCAGTCCCAAAGCCCCGTCCTCTTCTGTCGCAACCCCCTTTCCCATGACGTGCGTGCGTACGTGCCCAGTGCCTGCGTGCGTGCACGTCGTTCTCTATTGTTTACGCAATGCTTCCTCGACCGGCTTCGTGCGTTCCCTCCCTTCTTTCACCTCGCCCCACCTCCCCCTCCACCTTTCTCCCTTTTGTTTGCGTCTTTCTCCATGCGGCCGGGTCATCGCGTCTCCAAGGGGGTATACTCGTTGCAACCCGCGTAAAGGTTACCGCCGAGACTCGATCCCAAGGCTCGGGGATCTAAGAATGATTTCCCGTTCTGCCTTTAGAATTCGACAATGATTCCTGGTACACTGGTTTTCGAGGGGGGATCGTGCACTGTTGATCGCGTCAAACGGACCGTTAACCTTCGGACGACTGACTGTGAAACATTCACGTGCACTTCGGGTCATCTATGACCCGGGTAATATTACTGTTGTGTAGTGATTTTAGAAGGGAATCTTGTGGAAATGTTTCTTTTTTTTTTTAAATGCAATTTCAAACATTCAAGTGCACTTCGGACCATTTGTGACCTCAGGTAATATTACTGTTATAATAATTTTGAAAAAAAATCTTGTGTAAACGTTTCTTTTTTTTAAAATGCAATTTGAAAGAATTACGTGTAGGTTAGTCATTTGTTACCCCGGGTAATATTACTGTTGTGTAGTGATTTTGGAAGGAAATTTTTTGTAAACGTTTCTTTTTTGTAATGCAATTTCAATGTCTAGAAAGAGATTATTTTGCAATACTGTACAGAACAGTGCAATAAGTTATAATGCAATATATTATACCGTATAAAATATCATGTATATGTATACATATCAGCTGTTCATTTGCTGAAATGATTGACTCCATAAAATTTATATTTACAATTTATTTTAAATATGTAATGTTCAATGTCAAGCAATTTCTTTGGCACGAAAATTTGAAGCAATTTAAAAAATGGAGTTAGTCACTTTGGTTTGAAGATATATTCTTTCTCATGAATAGTTTTAGTCCATTTTTTAGCATAGTAAAATGTTACATGAAAAGATTAATCTTTATAATGCACATCGAAGATCCAGTTATTTTGCTTCGACCTGTACAAATCTATAATAAAACCTGCACGTAAACAGTTACAAGTTACAGAGATTCGATACTAAATAAATCCTGTCGATCCACGGAAAAGCAAGATAAAATCACGTATCGTTTCACAGATAAATCGAAATACCTTGTATTTAATAGAGTCAGCGACTGTTCAACCAGTTTACAGACATATTTTACCCATACTGTTTATCGAATCCAGAATACGTAATCGATTTCGTGAACGCTTCGCTTTCCGTGGACTTATCGGGGGCAGGTGGTAGTGGTGGTGGTCTTTTAAAATTTTCACGCGGTCGTTATCAACGATCCACCGTGCTTTATCGGTCTCTCGGCACTCTGAAAGTGTACCGTGCACAAATCTCGCCGCGTACGATGTCGTTACGAACCGGCTCGAATGATAGGATCTCTGTGGCAGGAGGCAACGACGGTTGCTCTCCCTCGATCGAGTCGTCCTTGGACGCGCCGATAACCACAGACGCTAATTAACTTCGCAGATGCTAATTACTGTAACCCTTTTTTTTTTCTTCTCTGTTTCAGAACGCGAGAGGCACAACGCCAACGGGCTGTCCGCGTAAGTATCCTATAAATTTTCAAGTCTCGTTCAAAAAAACAACTATTTTGTCCCGGCGCGTTGGGATTACGTTTCTCTCGAGGAAAATTTATCGTCCAACGTGAATTTTACGACGAAACAAACGAAGAAAACTGGTTCGAATGGCGATGATAAGTTTTGTTGGCCTTCTTTCATCCGAACGAATGTACAGGATTTTCGGCCTGCGGTTGGTCCGATGGGTTGCTGAAAATCCTTCGATCTAAAAATATTATGTTTACACTCGTGCTCAGAATTGGTAGGACGCGTGAATAAGAATAATATCGCGTAATTTGTCGCAGTAACGACGTAATACGAAAATCATGATTTTAGGGGAAACTAGTATGATGACTAGTTTGGACCCTAAATCCATTTTTGAGAAATGTTTCCTTTATATCCGAGCCAGTGTAGACAATTGCTAACTTAAATTCATTATCATAGGCTATCAAGTTAGATGAAGTTATTGACGATTCGATGCAAAGAGGGTTCAGGAATCGCCACCCAGTTGTTACTGATTTGAATATTCAGTTGAAATGTCAACTAAGCAATGCATATTAAGTATCATTAACAATTTTAATTGATTTCACATTTGACAAGTGCCTTAATACTTCTGGATCCGGTTACATAAATATTGTTTCGAAGAATTAAAATGCTCCTATTGTTCTATCAAGCTTTCATATAATCTGAACAGTGCGTATTCAGTATCATCAATAATTTTGTAATGGTCCTTAAACTTTGATTCACATTTGAAAAGTGTCCTAACAGTTATAGACCCAAGAACAAAAGCATCTGAATCCATTCACACAAGTGTTACTATAATTGTTTGACGACCATCCAAGTCTTTGTCACACCCGTAAATGTTCCAACACCGTGATCAGGGGGTGTGCATTACCTCACACAAGTGTCAAAATAAAACAAGAATATTTTGGACCGCGATTTTGTATCACTTTTAATTTTCATTTGTATCGCCATTTCGTATACAATTTATTCCTATACTTTCTATTCCATTCAGCGTATTTCTTGCAAAAAAAAAAAACCCGTTCTAAAAACCATATCGGTGAACAAATTTCCATCAGCACCCCATCAAATTAACTACAGAAATGATTTCCAGCAGACCAACCTCAGGCTACCGAGACTGCAAAAATCACACGGACGAATAACACGTCGTTGCATCGATATGCAACGGTCCAGGAGCGGGTTCATAACGTGAATTAATCCCGTGAAAGACCGCGATCGATAATAAACGGCAGACGTTTGAACGAGCGTCAATTAAATTCTTCCTCTGATTGGAGCCCGCTCTTC